GTAATTTATATTCTTCCTTTTTTATTTTCATTCCCTTTATTTCTTCATTTTTCTTAATATTTCTATTCAAAACTTCCGAAGTCAATACAAACAATAATGGGGATAATGGACAGCCTGTCTGGTTCCTTTATGAATGTTAAAGTTTTCTGTCAATTCTCCATTTATCATTACTCTTGCTGTTTGCTTGTTATATATTGCTTTTAGTGCTTTAGTAAACCTATCTCCAAAACCCATCTCCTCCAATTGTATCAACATAAATTGCCAATTCACATTATCAAATGCTTTCTGTGCATCTAAAAACACTAATGCCATTTGTTTCTCTGAGTGAGTTTCATAGTATTCCAGAGTATTCAATATTATCCTCATATTCCAGGTTTTTCTTCAATATTTAAAAATACAAAAACCATCCCCCGCACCCATCATGGCCTAATCACCATCTGTTCCAACTTAGACATCCCTTCAACCACTTCTCCTCCAGATGCAGGAACAACATGACCTTGACTGAAGAAAAAATGCTATTATGTCTAACTACCAATACTCTACAATTCCCCCCTCCTACTTTCCCAGCCACAGGAATGTGGCAGCGTGGAAGCTTCTGGTACTAGTATGGCTTCCAAAGCTGGCACTTACATTGAAAATCAAACAGAAAAAAACACAGAATATTATCAAACATGGAACTTATTTTACCAGTGGTTTGGAAAAAAAGGAGTAGAGAGTAAGAATGGAATCTGTATTGTTAAGCAAATTAAATACCCAAACAACACAATGTTTATTAAGCACTAAGAAACATAATTAATAGAAAATTAATAAAATTTATTTTTAAAAAAACAAAGTAAATTCAAGAGGGAAGTTGATTGGATAAAATAAGATTTTGCATACGAAATCAGTTACATGTGGGCAGTCATGTTACATGTTTGCATCCTGTAAATATCATGTTCATTAAAATGAGGTCTGATGTAATTTAAGAAAAAAAAGGTTATTTGGAGTTCACAAAAGAGATAAAGAAACTTCAAATTGTAACAACAATCTTTTTCTTATCTGGAGTTAGTCTCCAGCTTGTTTATTAGTTCAGGAATGTTAAAAGGTAATAAACCTGAACATCATTTTAAAAGAGAGAAAATAAATCAAATTAAAATACAAACCTAACTACCTAGTTAAGAAATTATAAAACCCATGTCACTAGCCCCCTGGGTTCCAGGCCTTTAATCTTTTCTGATAAGATTCCTTGAGGGCTAGAAACCTGAAGGTTGTTTTTCAAAAGGTCCTCTATAGCAGGTGATGTTCATTGCAGTGCATGAAAGGTGCTGCTGTTTGGTTTACGTTTCATTTCATTTCCCAGCTTCTCGGGCAGGCTCTGGCCAGGCGCTGAATGCGGTTTTCTCCCAGGTGGATGGGCGTGCGAGAGCCGCACCCTGGGAAAAAACTGACAGGAGGTGAGAGAACCAGTTAACCAGAGGGCAGGACATGCTGCCAGAAAAGCAGGGTAGAAATAAATGAGATTGCAGAAGTCCTTTCCAAGTGATGCATTGGAAGGATTGTGCATGGGCGAACCCTGTCAGGGCCTTGCCGAGAAATTAAATTCTTCTTGAAATCCCATTTCCAGCTAGCCTTTGCAAGAAATTTGGCCTGGCAGACCATAAATCTAATCCCTCTTAGTTGGTGTTGCAGCCTGCCACTGAGATTTCCCTGCCTTGGCTTGCAAGAAGTCGACGAAAGATTGTAGTGTTGGAAGCAATGTCCATCTGGGTTGAGTTTCAAGTTGGGGGGAAAGACACTGGAAACATGAAGGCTGTTTGGAAAGATGGTTTAATGGTGGACAGGATCACATGCCTTGGAGCTCTTGGGCAAAGAAAAGGGGCAGAGATGCTCAGACTGCCTGGGTTTTATACCCCCTCTGGCTTTGAATTTCCTGGGGCACAGGAAGAGTATTGGCTCTGCCTGAAGGAGGTATATCTTTGTTACATAGAATAGCCTGTCCTAGGACTTAGTGGTCCATTAACAAAGGTGGGAGGGCTGAGTTTCTGCCTCTGAGTTTCTACTTCTCTTTTAGGGGAAATATTCTGCCTTTTTAGTATATCCTAAAACAGGGATTGCCAACCTTTTGGACCTCAGGGACCACCAAACTCATAATTTTAAATTCCACAGACCACTAATATGAATTTTGACTGACGGTAGCTTGCTGACGTTGGTGGGAAAGCTGGTCCCACATTCCAGAGCTGCAGTAGCCACAAGACTGGCCCTTTAGCAGCTCTGGAATATGGGACCGACTTTCCCACCAACATCAGCAAGCCTCCCTTCTGTCATTGGTCTTACCTTCTAGTTCCAGCTCACATGGCTCAAGGTAAGGTTTGCACTCAGCCGAAGGGTGGGGCCAGCGGGTGGGCGGGCCATGTGGGTGGCACAACCTTGTGTTCCCGCGCAGCCTGGATTAATTGCTTTGGGGGGTATTTCTTTGCGGACCACCAAAAATTTTTCATGGACCACCAGTGGTCCCTGGTCCACTGGTTGGTGACCGCTGTCCTAAAATATTTCATTTTTATAGGAGAGGGGTGGGTTTTAACTTCCAACAGTAGATTGTACAAAAAAAATTTAAAATGATTTGTCTGCATGTCACAATGTGGGCTGGAAGAAAAAAATCCATCTGGTTCAGTTCCAGGCTGGGAGAAGGTGGCTGAAAATAACACGGAGGCTGGTTGGAAAGAAAGTTGGTTTATTGATGAAGAAGAACCACCGGCGGCATGTGGTTCTGGGTCAGCTGCTTCATCAATAAACACTCTTTCCAATCAGCCTCCGTGTTATTTCCAGTGTCTTTCTCCCAGCTTGGAACTGAACCAGATGGATTTCTTTCCAACAGTGGAATGGCTAGTCCAGCATCAAATGGAATAAAAAGGAAGGGAATTTTTAAAGAAAAAGCTCTCTTTTGATATTCTTGCTATGTTTTCTATTTGAAGAAAAAAAATAGCATGTTTTGCAGAAGTCAGGAGTGTTCTAATGTATATTCCCCCTCTGGTATCTTCAGTGGTACAGTCCATGTAGAGCCACTGAATGTTCTAAGGATCTGGGCAAAATAGAGTGGACTGGTCCATCTCAGATTGCAGGGGATGCTGTGTGCTGTAGAGCATCAACAAAGTTTCTGAAGGGAAATCTCAGCTCAAAAGCAGTTTACAAATGTCAAAGACCATAAGAGGATTTCAGGCCAGAGCCTCTACCGAAAGAGGCTATCCCCAAGAGATGATTTTATAATTCAAGGTTGACTCTGTCTTCCATCCTTCCGAGGTGGGTAAAATGAGGACCCAGATTGTTGGGGGCAATAGGCTGACTCTGTAAACTGCTTAGAGAGGGCTGTAAAGCACTGTAAAGTGGTATATAAGTGCTATTGCTATAATAAATATAAATCATTACTCATCTCAACAATTTAAATAACAATTTAAAAGGCAGTCATTTAAAGAACAATCATCTTCAAGTGGAACATACTGAAATTAATAAAGAAGAAACAAACCAACAAACTAAAAGGCAGTTGTAAAACTTTTTTTGGAAAAGCCCTTTTCTGGCCCTTAGAAAGGAATTCACAGAACTGGAGCCACCACTGAGAAAGCCCCATCTCTTGTACATGGCCCTGTATAGAATAATAAATATAAATCAATTCTCCAAAAAGCTGAGAAGGATGTAGGCTACTTCATTATTCTTTCTTGTGGGTATGTTGCGTTTTTTTAAAAAAATGTGAGAAGTATGCAAAAAATACATGCTATTGCATGCAAGTTAAAGCACAGATAAGCGTTGGGCTGAAACTAGAAACAGCTCAAGGTTCAAATCCACTCTAAAACTTGCAAACTCTGACTTTGGGCCAATCTTTCCCTCCCTTCCACCCTTCCTGCCTCACAGGGTTGTTGTGCTGGGAAAAATAATAGTGGGGATAAAGCTAATCCTTGAGTACCGGTATTCACCATTCATTTACGTACTGATGTTACAACAGCACTGAAAAAGCTGATTTATGATCGGTCTTCCTGGTTATAACCAGGACCATGTAATCAAATTTGGGCACTTGGCCACTGGCATGTATTTATGACCACATGATCATGTGATCCCCATTCGTAACCTTCCCAGCTAGCTTTCAACAAACAGGATCAATGGGGAACACTAGATTCGCTTAATAACTGCCTGATTCAGTTAACAGTGGCAATGATTTGCTGAACAACTCTGGCAAAAAGGCCATAAAATGGGGCACAGCACACTTAAGAGCTGTGTAATGGAACTTAGTAACGGAAACTTTGGGCTCAATTGTAGTCATAAGTCGAGGACTCCCTGTATAGGTGTAATATGAACATTACAAGGGATGTTACGGTCTCAAATGGCATAAAATACACCTTCCCATTGGTGGGATTCCAAATTGCATGCTACCGGTTCTGCGAGCTTCACGCTGCACTGTAAGATCACTTCCCCTGAATGCGTGGCACTCACCGATCACTTTGTGCATGTGCACAGAACCCATAGATCACTTTGCGTGCACACGCAGCACTCTAAGATTGCTTCACGTGTGTGCAGAACTCAAAGATTGCCCTTGGTGAGATGAACTGTTTTTTAGTGCAGCTGAGGCTTGGCAATCCGCTCTGCCATGCATATCAGCTGAGCTAAAAATCAATGGAATATAAGACAGGAAAGGGTGGGAAAGGATGGGGGCCGGAGGGCAGCTGAGGCT